GCTTAGGAAGTCTGTTCTAGAAGTCTCTACGAAGTCTGTTGAGGACTGGAATCTGTTTGTAGGTCTGTATAGTCTAGAAGGTCGTAGGACAGTCCAGCCAGCAAGTACCAAGGGTAGGGGCTGCACGTGGGGAAGGTTCTGGAGCACACTGTGGGTTTCACACGTTTTGGCCCAGAAGGCCAAACGTCTGGAACCTTCCCTGGGCCACACGTTTTGGCCCAGGCCCGGGTACCTCCAAAGAAGTATAAATACAGAGGCAGCGCCCAGCCATTCATTCATTCGCCTGTGTGCCATGCGGAAGAGCTGCCTTGGTATCTTGTGTGTGGAGGACTGCAGGTGCCCGGAGAAGAAGCGGGCTGTGAAGAAGACAGCGGCCATAGCGAGCCAGCGACGGAGACACTGACGGCCATATAGCTCGGAGGAGGAAGACGACGGCGGCCATAGCCGCCCAGCTGTTGGTGTAGACAGAGTCTACAGAGTGTGAGTGGCTGTGCAGTGTGGACATTCAGGGTGATCCTCATAAATGCGTGCAAGAGAGAGTGAGGGAGACTGAGGCTGGTGGTAGAGACAGTGTTCGGCGGCCATAGCCGCAAGTTGTACAGTTGTTCAGACTGAGTTTAATACAAGTTCGTTGTTGTTTCTGAGTTGACGGACTTCAGTTTTACCATCGGTTCTCAAGTGTGCATGTTGTGAACAAGGTCCAGAGTCGAGTCTGATTGCACACACACACACACACACATAAACTGAAACACAAACAAACATCTACACACACACACACACACACACACACACACACACACACACACACACACACAAACAAACAGACGCACGGACATACTGACCTTGAGAATATCAAATCTCTCCTTGTTCACTTGGAAGTTAGTTATCTTCTCAATGATCATCTCCAGAAGCGCCAGGAGCTTGTGGTTGTAGCCCGTCACCGTTACCTGTACGCATGACAACCATTGGGGGGGGGGGGGGCTTTGAGAATGCTTCAGACAACTGCAAAAGTGGAGAAATTATTTCGGCTTTCCTCTAATAGCATATCAATATGATCAAGTTAGGTAACCCATAACTGAAAGGGGGGCCACGGGTGAGAACAGTATTGCCACCACACTTGCATGCACATCGTACTCGCCCGCGGCACATGCAGCACACAGCACATGAGATCCTGCACACCCCCAAAATTAAAGGCCCAAGGAACAAAAGAGTGAGGGGTCGGAGTGTGGTGGCACACCCTTGCCGTCCATCCAAAGACGTTGGTCGTCCAGAAGAAAAAATGTTTCCTCGAGCGACGTGGAATATGCCCCCCAACCCCCCCCCCCCCCCMAAAAAAAAAAAAAAAAGTGTGTGCGCATGACTCAGATATAGACTGAGAGAGGGCAATAGCCGTCAGTGCAATGTCATTTGAAGGGCCATAAATTGCATGTATTTATGCCGAATTTCACAGCCTTCACGAGTAATAATGTAGCCAGTACTTCATTTTATGGAAATTTTTTGGATTTCTGTGTCATCCAGCACCGTGAAACTTTCTCTATATCTCATTACGATTCCAGTTTACCCAAGGACGTCATGACATTGTCAGAAAGCTCTAGCTCTCTCTCTCTCTCTCTCTCTCTCTCTCGGCCGCCCCTTCCTCCATCCTTCGAGCCCCCTAACAAGCGGTGTCTGGAGAACTTCAAGACAGCATAGCATGGCTCTGCGCAATGATGACACGCACAAGTTGGAACATCCATTCCATATAGCCTCTATCCGGACTTGGTAACAAAAGACGGCAAGATTCGGGACGTTTTTTGGGCCCATGGCATTACAACAGCACAGGACACTGTGAAGACGCCATAGATTTTCCACGTTGCTGGATGTGTGTGGTAGTATAAAGGGTAAGATTCATTCCAGGAAGTGCCAAGCATAAAAAACCCGAAAAGCTTAAGAAGTTAAAAGCTTAAACAGAAGGACAAAATGAAAACGGGCAATGCCTGTTGACTCAGACAGCAACGTGGAAAATTTATGCTTGGCATTGCTTAAGACCCGAAAAGCTTAAAAAGGAGGACAAAAAGGAGGACAAAATGACTCAGACAGCACAGGAATCTATCTATCTTAACGGAATCCAGCGACAATCAAATAACAGACTCCGATTTCTGTTGACGGGGAAGACGAAAGAAGAGGAGCTTATCAGAGAAAAGAACTCACCAAAAACCCGCTAACAGAATGCTCCACGCTGTAGGCAAGCCCAGCCACCTCCGCGTAATACGCTGCAGATTTCCAATTTGTGAAAGTGGTTGGGATTTTTTTAGAACAATGCCAGCCTTTCCCAAATTTCAATGAAGTTATTACATCCTAATGTCCTACACAATAAAGTGCAGATTACGTACCGGGGCTCGAGAATGTGTGATGGTGTGTGTGTGAATCACACAGTATTCATCCCCCATCACACATTCTTTGCACTTTTCTGAGTTTTCTCCCTCCTCTGCGCCGCCAACCTTTTTAACAAGTTTTTATAGCTGTGCAGGATGTTCCATGAATGTGAAAAGATCTCATTCGCGTTCATTACTGATTCAATGGACCTCAAAAAAAAAAAAAAAAACAGTATAATTGAGGTATTTGCATTTTCAAACCCTTAGTCGTGCAGAGAGTCTGCAAGCGCACATTCTTTCTGACTGCCAGAATTAGCTACCATGATTAACTTTAAAAAAAATAAAAAGATGCTACCATGATTATTAGGTGCCATGATTAACTTACAAAAAAAAAAAAAAAATGCTACCATGATTATTATAATTTATTAACTTAAGAAGCATCTCTCCGATTCTATCCATTTACCGGATTTTTCAAACTTTTTCAAGTTTTTTCAGTTCATTCCCTCCTGTCACCACGTTAGCGGCTTTCCCATATTTTCAAAGAGGTAACGACCACACTCTGTGCTCAACACCGCGTTCCAATGCGATGTACCTCAACCCGCGCCCATTGCGCCCCAACCCGGCAGCTGAAATCGCAGCCCCTGGAGAAAGGATGAAAGTTATCATGAAACCCATTTGTTCCTCCACCGTTTCTCTTTCCAGATGCGCGATGACATGATAAAGGTTCCCTCAAAGGAAGACATCACTGAGGCCATACTAAAACTAAGGGCGAGATCCTACCGTCTTCACCCGTGAATGGATTCGCGCTGTAAGCTTTCCCAGTCCTGGTTCTAGGGTCCCTAATTACCACAGTCCAGGCCCCAATAGTTTAGAGTCTTTGGGCCTGTAGGTTCAGACACCGTAGGTCGGCAGGCTACAGTACCGTACAGTGCCCGTAGGAGCACGTCAAGTTCCCAAAAGTACAATTTTGCAGCAGCCTCACAAGAAAGTCGGGAAACTTCCCAAAATAGCAATTGGCAAGGCAGAGGCTGAAGGAGGCCAGTACCGATTGAAGCAGGCAAGCAGCAGTCCACTACAACTATATATCTTGGACTACAGTGCCGGAGGCAGTCAGTTGTTCATTTCGCAAATTTGTGGAAGCGCTGCTGGGAGCTTGTGCAGACTAGCTACCTGGACGAAGAAGAACGCTGAAGGGAGGAAGAAGACCAGCACCCTGGATGCAACAGACCACCAGGGAGGAGACGAAGTGTTTGGCGGCCGTAACTGGCCGTTTGCAGTGAGACACACCGCAGAGGCATTCAGGGTACATCTGGGACATTGTAGAGAGAGGAACAGCGAGCGAAGAACAGTGAGCGAGGAATAGTGCAAGTGAAAGAGAGAGAGAAGTAGAGAAAAGAGAGAGAGCGAGTGAGAGAGAAAAGACGAGGAGGAGGAGGGAATCAGGTACATACCTGAGGAGTGTTGCAGCGGTTGAAACCGCTTATTCCCGAACGTTTTCAAGTGTATATTGTTGTGCTTTGAGTGGAACTTCGAATTTGCACTGTTCATGGACACCGCTCAAGCTTGTGTGACCGTCATCTGAATGTTCTCAAATGCATGTTGTACTTTTGAGTTGAATCTTGCGAGGTTCATTGCACCTGAATCGAATGCCCGGTCATTATTGATATATCTAGACAGCAAGTCGCCCCGAATACAGCACTTGTGACCAGGCGTCCTGTCTGGGTGAAGACGGTGGTGTGAATACTATATATATGCCCTAAGGCGTGAAGGCAGCACCCAAATCGAACTACAGGTCTGCACGAGCGGGTGTGAAGGCAGCACCCAAATCGAACTACAGGTCTGCACGAGCGGGTGCATAACAAACAATGGACATGAACAGGTGACATGGCGGCCTCCTCTGAGGCTCTGACTAAAACAGGTAGTGAGCTGACTCGAATGTGGTCGTGACTCATGACCAGATTCGTGAATGCTATATATATGCCCTAAAGCGTGAAGGCAGCACCTGAATCGAACTACAGGTCTGCACGAGCGGGAGCATAACAAACAACAGACATGAACAGGTGGCATGGCGGCCTCCTCTGAGGCTCTGACTAAAACAGGTAGTGAGCTGACTCGAATGTGGTCGTGAGTCCTGAACAGATTCATGAATACTATATATATGCCCTAAAGTGTGAAGGCAGCACCCGAATCAAACTACAGGTCTGCACGAGCGGGAGCATAACAAACAATGGACATGAACAGGTGACATGGCGGCCTCCTCTGAGGCTGTGACTAAAATAGGTAGTGAGCTGACTCAAATGTGGTCGTCAGTCGTGACCAGATTCGAGTCAACCACCGAAGAACATGCAAAATGACTAGGGCATACTCACACTAGGTCCTCAAAATCGCAAAATCCCAAAATGAGCAGCCAGATCTCGTCCTCCTTTACAAGGACTCGATCTGGCCACTCATTCTGAGATTTTGTGAGTTTGAGGGCCTAGGGTGAGTATGCTCGTACCAATGGGCCTACCGTCTTCACCCGAAAATAACGCCCAGGCGTTACATTCAACCTAATAACCTACCCTAAAAAGATCAGATTTTCGTTTTCACTCTCTTTTTCTCAAATAGAACGCCCCTTCGAAAATAAGGGCCGGGCATTATATTCGAATAGAACGCCCGGGCGTTTCATTTGAATGCTCCATGCGCAGAGCGCCTTGTAGAGGTGGTATAAATCGGTTTCAAAGGGTGGGGAGGGGGATATACATGGGTTTTAAAGGGGGTTGAAAGGGGGTTTTGACTTCGGAGGGGCCTATTTCGGTTTGATTTTTTTTTTTTTTTTTTTTTTTCCGAGTCTATATTACTTTATACGGATTTCGCATTGCAATTCTGGACAACACTTTTTTTTTTATACAGAATTTTATATGTTTTTTTTTTTGCAATTTTGGGCCCCCACCGAAGTTGCCACCAATTTACTGGAGATAACGCTCGGCTGGGGGGGGGGGTATAAACGAATATACAACGCCCGGGGGTTATTTTCAGGTGACGACGGTAGCTCAGTTGGAACACCCACGAACTGTCAAAATACAGACCTGGGTTCGAATTCCAGTTGACTCAGATGAGTAAAATTAATTCTTGAAAATTTTATAAAAAAAACACTTGGGGCTGGTCAGTTTCATATGTCTTCTCACGGCCGTCGCCGTTTGAAAAAGGAATATAATGCAAAATGACTTTTTTGGGGGGGATCGATTTCTATTGATGAAGTCAAGAAAGTATATATTATAGTAAACGCAGTCATAGCATAAATGAAAGGGGTCCACAGAAAGGGGTGGTATCCTAGATAGGCTGGAGCTGGACACCGGCCGGACCAATCCAGACATCCGAACGGAATCCTAGCCATAAGTGGAATAGAGTGTAGCGCCTGAAAACACCGGTATTGAAAATCTTAAGAAAAACACAGCAAAGTCCTCCTTCAGGACATACGTTAAAATTGGAACGATACACAAAGAGAGAAGATTAACATGGCCCCTGTGCAAAGGATGACACGCGTAAATTGAGAAATGGTCAGGGGAAGAAAAAAAAAGAAAAAAAAAAGAAGAGCAAACAGAGCAACAAGACGGGTCCAGGCCACATAAGAAGGGAAGGCAAAAAGACAGAAAGAAAGCTGTACAGATGATCGAACATGTGACAGAAACGTGCCGATGTATCAAGCCCGTATTTGATGGAAAGGGGAAACAAGCAAAGCACAAGCGGTACAGATGACCATGGACGAGGAGCATAATGACTCTACCCTGCGTACAACAACTGCCATCATGATGGAATAGTCTACCGTCTTCCTCCGAACATAACGCACACCGATTCTGAATGTATACAAGCCATCTTTCCGGTCGGATGCAGTCGTAATGAGGGTGTGTTGTGTGTTGGGGGAAGACGGTAGGAAATAGAGAGAGCAAGGGAAATGGGATGTCGTCAAATTTAGTAAATTACCGTACTCATTCAGGTAATCAATTAAGAGCTTGGTGAAAATTCTCGTGAGAATACTGTTCTCTGGTGACGTGTACGATTCCGGGCACATGAAATCGATGCAGACATAGGCCTTGGGGGTGCGGAACACCGCATCTGGCTTGTACCAAAGCCTTGAAAACCCACTCTCGCGGCACAGCACCGGATATTTTGTCTGGAAACCACACACAAAAAAAAAGAACCGAAGCGTCAGTAACATGAAGAACTGATGAAAAAATGAGAATTACCAAAAAACCTGGGCTACCAGAGTGGCCTGCGACCACTTGCCCGGCCAGCCCAAAAATAAATAAATAAATGATAATACTCTAATCTTACGATTAGAGGGGACACCTTTGGCCGTGTTTTGTTAGAGCCCGGCCGGATCTATCTATATTTTTTTTACATTTGGTAAAGAATTTCGATGTGACCCTGAAGCAAAAGTTGTTCAGTTTTTTTTTTTTCTGCATAACACAGTTTTCTTTCAGATTTTTTGGTTGTCTTTTTTTTTTTTTTTTTTTTTTTTTTTTTGCTGGGACCTTCCCTGGTCCTTGCACGGCCAGGCCGCCCCCGGGCAAACACGGTGATCCGGGCGGCCCAACTGGTACCCTAGCAAAAAACTTGAAAAAAGTGAAAAACAGAAGCTAGTGAGAAAATGTTCAAAATGACAATAAGCATGCTGCAAATGTGAAAATTCGAAGTTCCCAGCTCGGAAACGCAGAGATAAAGAACAAGAGTTCAAGACTTCCAAGCAGAAAGTTGATCAAAATCTCCTAAAATAGCAAAGGAGATCAATTAAATGCTCACACCGGTAAAATTATAAACAACTTAAATCAAGTGTAAAATTGAAAAATCGAAAGCGCAAACGAGTACCATATCGGAGTTTCCACAATAGTAACCTAGGCGACCAGCCGGACCGCCCAGGTCACCTTGTTTGCCTGGGGGCCCCAGCAGTGCACGGAATCAAGCGTGCGAGGAATGAGCCCTCGCGAGGCCCTTGTCAAGCATGCATATGTTCTGGGCAAAGGCCCCCAGCAAGCCAAGTGCCTGCACTAAGTGAAGGCGAGCCTGAATAATCACTTCTGTAAGAGAACTAATCAGAGTAGGTGTAGACTAGAACTAATCAGAGTAGGTGTAGACTATGTGCACGGTCTGTGTCAATGCTGTCAATACCGCTTGAACGGTAGTCTAGTTAACTCACCCGATATTATTTCATTTTTTTATTTATTTTTAGAACCGGTCTGTCGCCTGCTGGGGTAGGTTCCAGAGTGGACACTAGTGCAGACAGCGTCTGCCTAGCCGATGAGTGGATCAGAGGGTGGTAAAGGTACAGCTGACGACCGAAGGCAGACCAGGCGTGATACGCTTAGGGTACCTGTAGTGTTCCAGGTCCTGCTACCAGGAGAAGAAAGAAGGCTAAAGCCTGCAGCAAGGGCTCGTAATCTTGAGATTGCCAGGGAAGCAGCAGCAGCTGTAGAGAGGACGTTAGCAGCAGCAGAAGCTAGCGCAGTAGCAATGGCTACCTCTTCAGCAACATCTGCAGCAACCCCGACTGGTCAGCAGACCAGCTCTCAGTCCATCTCCAGTACGTGATAAGCTGGCACTAGTCAGATGGCAGGCTTGCAGTTCAGCTCGCCGCCTCCACTTACCAGGGAGCAGATGGAGCTCCAGCAAGTAGAGAGGATCTGCATAAGGCTAAAGGAGGAAGTTAAGAAGGCTACCGATAGGGAAAACGAGAAAACAAGATTAGAAGTGTCAGACTAGAGAGTAGGGCGGCAGACAAAGCTGCTTTAGAAGGGTTAGAACTTAGATGACTTGGACCCGGACAACAACATCAAGATCGTCAAGGTGAGCATCCTGTCCATGCATGCATACATGGACAGCAAGCTGGACTCTATCCAGGACACCCTGGACCAGATCCTGAATGCCCTGCACAGGCCAGGTGTCAGGCCAGCAGTTTTGCCATCGCTGCCATTCTCAGCGATGACAGGCCCGTACCCGCCTCAGTCTGGTACATCGTCAAGTGGTACATCAGCAGCAGCAGCGCAGACTGCTGCTTCTTCATCTTCTGGTCCAGCGGCTGGAGCTACACCACAGCCACCACCTGTCCCGCCAGCGGGACAGCAACAGCCTTGGTATCCCAAGACCCCACTGAAACCAACCCCAACATTCTCAGGAGATAAGAAGGATCAGGCTCTCGACACTTGGTTGAGAACGGTGCCAGTGTGGTGAGGGCGAAGAGGACGTTGGTAGAGGAGGTAGTGATAACTGCCACATCCTATTTGGAGGGATCGGCAGCTCGCTGGTTAAATGGCTTGGTTGCCTCAAAGGGGTTCGGCAGGAACATGGGTGATTGGGCTCAGACCCATACCCTAGAGAGCTTTATGGATTTGGTGGAAGCGCGATGGCACAACCCACAGCAGGCACAGATTGCCACTGATGGGTTGCTGAAACTTGATACTAGAAAGTACAAATCAGTGCGAGAGCTCACCTCTGCCGTAGAGCGTTTGATTGTCGTTCCCGGGGTGCAATACAATCCACAGGTCTTGCTGACCATATTCTTGACGTGTCTTCCCACAGACATCAAAAACTTATTAGTCAGCGAGGCTCGGCTAGAGTATCGTACCTTTGAGACCTTTGGCAAGAAAGCCTTCGATTTGGAGGCTAAGCTAGGAGGTGCTAAGGCCCCCTACGGCCGGAAGAAAGAAGAAGAGTCCAGAAGAATGGAAGAAGAAGGGGAGTCGATTGATGATGGTCGAGGCCGATGGAACTCAGACCGAGATCGAGGATTTCTCAGATCTTGTGGACGGTACAGAGGTAGACGGCGAGGATGATGCTGAGGGTAGCAACCTCGCTGCAGTAGTAAAGGGCAAGGCAGTTGGCGCAGCAAGGGCGGTCAACAGAGGAGTTAGGGGCAAACCCCGAACCTGCACAAGATAGTGGCGTCGGTTCGAGCAGGTTTGGATCAAGATGGGTGGCGGGACCGTTATACGCGGGGTGCTTGTATTAACTGCGGCGAGTATGGCCATCAGCAGTTTAAATGCAAGAACGCAAAGGTCCTGCAGAAGATACCACCTAAAGGTGAGATTCCTTCTCCCCAGAGTGGTGCTTCTACGAGTTTTGGCTCGTGAAAGCGGCAGTAGAAGTTATAGCTGCTTCTACTCTCGTTGAAGCGGGTGATGTACCCTCCCCATTTCAAGAGTTGGCCAAAGCAATTGACTCCTTAGTCACCCCGCAGACGCATCCTGACCCAACGATACTCTGCTCGTTGGATGCGTCTGAGGCCTAAGAGGACCTACAAAGTGAGTGGTCGCCAACAGACCCTCATGTGTCCTGGGTGGCACTAAGTCGAGGTCCTAGAGGGGAGCATTTCGTTGTGGAAGTTGGTGTAGGTGACCGCAACTGCGGTGCCTTCGTAGACATCGGCTCCATGTGAAATTTCATAAGTACTGGTGCAGCGCCTGAGTAGACAGGTAGCATCTACTCTGGCCAACTTTCTTGGTGGAGGACTACGTCAAGGATGTAGTCTGCACTTTCTCCTATGCAGGAGGGGAATTGAACCATAAGATTTCATTCCTAGTTAGTGACGACCTGCCATTTGACATGTTAGGCATGTACTACCCTGAGGTTGCCAAGTAACCTACTAGCTTTATACTTAGCTAGTCTAACGGTCCTCCTATAAGGCAGCTCATGCTTCAGCACTTTCTTGTCCTAGTATGTTTGTGCGCGTCAGACTTTTATAATTATTATAAACAGAACCAAGCGGAAGGTATGTACCTGGTCTTTGTCTCCGCAAAAGGGGAGGTCCTTAAAACACCCCTAGAGATATAGAGAGTGTTGTCGCTAAGCACCCTTATCTGTTCGAGTAGCCTATAGGTGTCGTAGACAGGAGGTCGTCCATGCCATACAGATAATCCCTGGGAGCAAGATACCCAAAGGGAGAATCTATAGGATGGCTCCGGCCAAGTTGGACGACCTTTGTCGGCAACTGAAAGAGCTCACAGAAAAGGGTTGGATGCGGCCTAGCATATCCCCCTTCGGCTCACCAGTTCTATTCGTACCGAAGAAGGGGGGATCGTTAACGATGTGCATTGACTATAGGGGCCTTAATGCCATCACATTTATGAACGCAGAGCCCCTGCCGCGCATCGATGATCTACTGGATAGGGTGCAGGGATGCAAGTACTTTACAAAGATAAACTTGAAATCCGACTACCATCAGATTGCCAATAGACCGGAAGATCAGCACAAAACCGCATTTCAGCCCAGGTACGGCCTGTGCGAGTTTGTGGTGATGCCCTTCGGCCTTTGCAATGCACCGGGAACATTCCAGCACGCCATGAATAGGATTTTCCATGACTACTTGGATAAGTTTATCGTCGTATACCTCGACGACATTCTTATCCTCAGTAGGACTGTTGATGAGCATGCCCAACATGTAGACAAGGTGCTTTTTTCTCCTCAGGCAACACACGTATAAGATCAATTCAGAGAAATGCGAATTTGGTCGCACAAAAATCTTGTACTTGGGTCATGAAGTATCCGCGGAGAGGATTAGGCCTGAAGATGGGAAGGTGGCTCGCATTAGAGACTAGCCACAACCCCAGTCTGTGACTGAGGTCAGATCTTTCTTGGGGATGTGTGGTTATTACCGCAATTTTGTACAAAACTATAGTACAATTGCATCTCCCTTGACAGATCTAACGCGCCTTGACTCTCCATGGGAATGGACAAATGCATATGAGGCTGCTTTCAAGAGACTGAAGCATGCCCTCACACATCATAAGGTTCTCATGGTCCCCGATCCTCAAAGGCCATTTGTAGTGACCATTGGCGCAAGCCAGTACGGCATTCGCGCAGTGTTGGCTCAACAAGAAGGGAAGAAGTTAAGGCCGATCGAGTGCATGAGCAAGAAGAAGCCATCCAAGAAATTGGCGGAGTCCACCTATGAAAGGGAACTCTACGCCCTCTACAAGGCACTTGTCCACTGGAGGCACTATCTGTTGGAACGGTTCTTCTATTTGAGGACTGACCATCAGACAGGAGGCACTATCTGTTGGAACGGTTCTTCTATTTGAGGACTGACCACCACACACTCAAGTCAATCAAGACACAACCTGTTCTCTCTTACACACTCAAATGTGGATTGAACTCATAGATCAGTATGACTTCAACCTAGATTACGTGAAAGGCGAGTACAACAAGGTTGTTGACGCACTGTCAATTCGGGAAGAACACCTGGGTGCGCTGATTACCGAATTTGGCTTATCTTACAACGTAACTCAATCCTTGGTGGAAGCCTACAACTTTGACCCTGTGACAATGGACATCAGCCGCAAACTGGAGGTCCAAGACAAGGCCACATCTGATGAGTTTGTGATGGTGGATGGACTCCTCTTTCTTGAAAAGGCTGGGTTCAAAACGGTTAGCAGTCCCATCTAGAGAAATCTTGCGTAGTTTATTTTTAGGGGAGTGCCATTATGCAACAGGACACTTCGGCTACAAGAAGACTAGTGCTAACTTGGTACAACGATTCTGGTAGCCTAACATGCTTGACGATGCAAGGACCTACGTTCAGACTTGCCAAGTCTGTCAGCGGGACAAGACTCCGACTCAAGCCCCGCTTGGGTTATTAAAGCCTTTACCCATTCCTGCTGGTCCGGGACAGAGTGTTTCCATGGACTTCATGGATACCCTCGTGACCAGCAACAGTGTCCAGGACAAGAGTGTTTCCATGGACTTCATGGATACCCTCGTGACCAGCAAGAGTCGCAAGAGGCCTATCTTCGTCATAGTTGATAGGTTCACTAAGTACGCTAGACTAATCGCCATGTCTGAGACTGCCAAGACTAAGCACGTCATCAAGTTATTTACGGATAACTGGGTGCGTGACTTTGGTCGTACGCTAGACTATTCGCCATGCCTGAGACTGCCAAGATTGAGCACGTCATCAAGTTATTTACGGATAACTGGGTGCATGACTTTGGTCGTCCGAAGACGATCGTTAGTGATAGAGACGTCCGGTTCACCAGCGAGATGTGGAAAAAGGCTGCTGAACATATGGGCAGCCAGCTGCAAATGACTTCTGGAAATCATCATGAAGCCAATGGGCAGGCTGAACACATGAACCGTGTGGTGCAGCATCTGCCGAGGCACTATATCAAGCCCAGCCAGGATGACTGGGATGAGAAACTACCTCTCATCACCAGCCTGTACAATAGAGTTGTACATAGCACCACCGGCGTCCGTCCTAATCAGCTGCATCTGGGGTGGAAGCCTAGATCTGCTTTAGACTTCCTCCTGCCTGAAAATCGAGCTGCTGCAGCTTCTGGAAACATTGAATTTGGTGTCCAGTATGAGAAGTTGTTGCAGCAGACTGTCGAGCACATCAAGAAATCTCAGGAAGCAATGATTGTTTCTAAGAACAAGCATCTCCGACAGTCAACATTTCAGGTAGGGGAACGTGTCTGGGTCAAGGCTAGTGAGTTGGGACAGGAATTCGGCATCTCTAGAAAACTAATGCCACAGTATTTCGGTCGCTGGGAAGTCTTAGATATTGTGGGTAGTGATTTGGATGGTCCCTCGTACGTAATCCATATCCCTGGTCACCTACGCACTTACCCTGTGTTTCCCGCCTCAAAGCTTGCACCTTTCGCTGAGACAGAACAGTTCCCATCGAGGAGATCTATGCTGCCCACAACCATGGATGGCCAGGTGGACGTCGACGATATCCAAGAGCACAAAGACATGCCTGTTACCAAGCCAGCTGGCAGGGGTAGACCGCCTAAACCTGTGAGAGAGTACAAAGTACGGTTCTGGCATCATAGTGATCCCAAAAACGATTGATGGTTTACAAGAGAGGAACTTGTCAAGACAGCTCCTCAGATCGTGGCCAGGTATGAAGAAAATTGACGGGGAAGGCTCCAGCATGAAGCATCTCAGCGGACTTTCGAAGCTAAGGGGGAGTGAATACGAGGAATGAGCCCTCGCGGGGCCCTTGTCAAGCATGCATATGTTCTGGGCAGAGGCCCCCAGCAAGCCAAGTGCCCGCCGTAAGTAAAGGCGGGCCTGAATAATCACTGAAGGCCAAAATTCGACATTTTTCATATGTGGGTATGCAGGTTGTTGCAGCCCGCCAGTTGGTTGAATGGACGTGTGAGCCTCCCTAAGCTGCGTCGTACAGTGTGGCCCAGGCCTTGGCAGTTGCGCCTGGGCACATACACACAATGCAGGGCCGATACATCACGAAGTGGCCACAGGCCTACGCAAAAACAGCACTGATGACGTACCTACCCCGGGTCCTGTGGAAATGCAGCAAACAGCCCAAGTCTGGAGACTCAGGTCGTGCTCAACTGTAAAGGGCCCAGGCCTTCAACTGTAGCATTGGGCCTGGGCACAGGCACTGGGTCCCAACCGGAAGCTAAGGGAAGCTTCCAGCCAGGCCACACGCAGCCAAGCAGAGGCTGCCACTTCCATATAGGAAGGAAGGCAGCCAGGGTCTGGCCACGCAGGCAATGCGGTCACGCTGCTGCGCTGCTGCGTTAGAGGCTGCGCGCTGCGCTGAGGCCAGGGCGTGTGCGGGCGCGTGTGAGGTGAAGAGGGGCACTGCTGGGCAGCGGAGCACGAGCAGCCATAGCCGGGCTGCAGGGCGCTAGGGGGTAAGAGGGCGATCAGTTGTCTTCTGGAAGGAGGCGAGTGCGGGTGGTCAGCGTCTGATCAGGGGAGATGAGATACGTACCTGGTACATGAAGAGAGGTCGGCCATGGTGTTGACGTCATGTAAATTGGTCTTGAAGAGTTGAAGCCTGTTGCGTGAATGCTGATGTAGGTAGGATAGGCGAATAGGGTAGGCTGGGCGCTGGGTGCCAGACATAAAGGAGCAACTTTGGATACTGTGTTGGTGTGGGCTGAGGGCTTGAACATTGGCTCATTACTTCATTGTATTGCTCTTATTTGGATGGAACCTCGGTGCATTTGTGCTCGCTGCTTGTACACGACTACTTGGACATCTGTGTGATTTCCCAACTTGGCGGTCACGGGCCACTCTGGTAGCCTAGATAGTAACAACACTTACAATACCCAAATCAAAACAACAACGGGGAAAAGAAAGAGGAGGAGGATCAAATAATGAAAGGTTTCTCTGCTTGCCCAAAAAATTAAAAAAAAGGAGAGAGGAGGAAGATAAGTAGAAAAACTTCAAAAAAGACAGAAGACAAGTCGAGGAAAAATGCACAAAAAAATTATACAGGTGCAGTCTTTTTCTCTACATGTAAAAGTGCCAGACACCAAATCCGGCGAACATGCACCGAAATGTGATGGCAGTCTCTCTTCGTAGAACTTTCGACGAATATTCGATGATGCATCAAGTTGAACCATCCAACTTTCAATGAACTTTCAATCAAGAAAGCAACAAAAAAAGGGCTGCGAAAAAACAAAAAATAACAAAATTTGAGAAAGCATAACGAAAATTTTTTCTTCAGGAGGACCCCCTCCCCTCCAAGATAGAGGCACAAAGAAATCCAGTGGTCACGAAGGACAACAGAGGTGCAGCGGCAAGTGGGGACCCACCTGCAACTTTTCTATTGAGAAAATACAAAAGTGAGGACTCTGAGGAGGAGCTTCACGAAAACAAACAATCAAAAGACTCAAAAGAGAAGGAAAACACACAGGAA